TATTAGAAACACTTTGGGACCAAGGTGAATTGTGTCAATTAACCGATTGTTTCTAATAAGCGATTGAAAAAAAAAATGAATAATAGGTACGCGAAAAAAATATGTATGTATGTATGTACCTATATTGTATAATTTAAAAAAGTATGCACAATTGTGTATATTTTACGATATTATGTAAAATATTTATCATTCGTAATTTGTTTTTTTACGTCGAGTAACTCCATGACCATATTTTCATACGAGTAATATTGCCCCTTTAGCTTTGTCACTTATTTTGAGTGCGTATGTGTGTTCAGGTAGAGCTCCAAAATAAAGCCCAGTCTCGTCCGCATTGAAAATATCAAAGCGTGTGTATTGGGCTAGCAAATCGGTCAAATGAGTTTCAAACCACGAATGGTCGCATGAAAATTGGCTAAAATCTTAGCGTTTAGACATTTTTAGATTTTTAGAAAAAGGAAACACTAATAATCTTTACATACGCACGCTGAAGCTAAACTACAAACGGTACGACCAGTACGTACAGAAAGAGCATTCTCGCGATAAATTACAGTAAAAATAAACGTAACGACAGCAAAGATAAAATTGAAGTACATTGGTTATCGCTAGATAATCGGTGTATATGTCAACTGACCTTCTCCCAATTGTTTCAAATAACCGATGTGATGTTTCAATAATCCGATTTATTTTCAATGTTCTAATATACGGCCGATCCATCCCGAGACATTTTGTTTCAATAACACGATTGTATCAATTATCCGTGTTTCTAATAAGCGGCTTCTACTGTAATTTCAAATACCATCGATTGCATATTATTTGCTTATCTTATAAAAAAAAAAAATATATGCCTCTTTTAATATCAATTTTTTATTTTTATTTAATACATCTTTAGTATTAAATTACAATAATTGTATACAATTCTTTAAGAAATTAAGTTAGAGAAATAAATGTGAGAAATGATCTTTAAATACAGTTAACTTGCTTACTGCGCGATAGTAATTAAATGAAAAAAATACTTAAATACAATTTTCATGTCAGGAAAATAATATGATAATTAATTAAAATATTAACAATTTTAGCAAAGAAAACATAAATGAAAATTTTTATCTTACATTTTAATGATTTACATTTATTTTAAAATAGTGTTACAGGTTTTTTAATTTGTTTAAAAAAACAAAAATCAATTAAACTAAAAATATAATTTTAGAAAGTTGATACCTACTTGCTACGTCATTTAACAAGCCTCAAAGTAAAATTACATTTTACTCGTTTTAGTAAATTACCTACTTTTTTTTTAAATATTATGTATCTATCGACATTTCTGTGTAGGATAGAAATAAGTATGTAAGTAGGCCAAGTTTTGGTAATAATTGCTTGAAATACTAATTTTTAAAAATAAAATTTGAAAAGGGTAAAATAGATAACCACTCTGAAGTATCTAGATGTACCTCGTTATTTTAAGTAGGTCACAGCTGTAATGGATGTGGTAAATTTAAATTCAATAATAAATCATTGACCGTTGTATATGAAAAACGATTTTGAGCGGTGAAGGTATTACAGCCTATTATCATATTATTAATACCGCTATTATATTATCTATCATCTGTGCTGGATTGTATTTAAAATTTAAACGCAAGCTTCATAGGCTACAACATTTAACATAAGAGCCTGTTCTACAGAGGGCCACCGCAGAAAATCTTGCAAAAAATAATGTTTGTATAAATTAAAATATTTGGCGATAATAATACTATTCATAAGGTACAGATTTTATTGCCATCAGTATTTAGATAAAAACTAAAACAATCACAACCGTCAGCAATATATTATTATCAACCGATATGTCACGACGTTGTTGTTGTTGTCGTTACTCGTTAGTTGATAATTTAGTAAAATATTAAAATATATGACAATTTACAATGATTTAAATGAAAACTTAGAAATGAAGTGATCCAATTTAAAATGTTTCATTGTGGATTTCCAAAAAACGAGAAATATAATTCATCAGCAATGGAAAGTAGATGTATTATATCCTTTTGAAAAAAATCGTTTTTTTGTTGTTCAAACAATGATTGTTTTCTCAATATTGAACTAATGAAATCGCTTTGAGAATGTACCTCACATTAATAGTCACCAACTGTAGTAATCTAGATTTCCATGCTAGATGAAAATCTAATTATTTTAGCTCTAATAAAAAATTTCACCAGTAAACCAATTGGCCTGTAGGCCATTTACTTAGTTGATTATTTTTTTGTCAAATAAATATATTAAATAAGTCTATTGGCTATAATCTATTTATATTCCTGTACCCTTGGTAGGGCTTGCACTAAAGGCTAGCTTAGACAACGTAGGGGCCAATATATTTTAAATACAACCCTACATCTATGGCTATATTGTTGCTATTATAATTTATAATATTATTAGAGTTATTTTTTTATTTATAGTACTTCAGTAATATGGAATAAACTATTGGTAAGGAATTGCTTAAAATTAATCTAAATATTACTAAAAAAAGAATTAGTTAATACATTTTTTTAAGCATTTTGGTTCCAGAAAGAACTATGAATTTGAAATTTTTACCAAATATTCATTCAAGCATTTATTATATCTAACCATGTATTATACATCTAGGTATAGGTATTTAAAATCTATGCTTTTAGTTTATTTTTTATTTTTATGTGATTCACAATAATATTTATGAATTAAAAAGCTTTACCATTTAATTCATAGTTTCTTATAACTTATAAGTAAAGTTCAGATTTAAATTCTTTAAAAACTATTAAAATGCTCTAAAATATAGATAACCCAAAATGTTTTGAAACTCAATCAATATTTTTTTTATAGGCATGGAAATATGCAAAGGTTTTTGCATAATTTAAAATAATTTAACAAATATGTTAAAAATTCATGATGGGCATATATTTTTGTAATCATTCTAAGTTCATTTTTCATTAAATATATCAAAATTACGAACGTTTACACATTTTTTTTGAATAAAATAATATATAAACCTAGCAAGACAAATAAGTACTAAAGGATCATATAATCTTACTACAACTGGTTGGTAGAATAATTAATTTATTTACAATAATTTGTATACTTACTCTGAGTAGATAAATCATAGTTTATTAAATAGGTAGGTATTAATTGTTCAATGTTTTAGGTTTTAATAACAGTTTATGTATCTACAGGTTTGACAGGTTTGTTAATTTAATTAACCTGCTTTTTAATTGAGGTAATAGTGGATTCATTTTTAAGTTCTCTTGACTAACATTTTATAATTCCCAAATAAATCAATAAATAACTCTATTAATTAGTATTTAAATAACTCATTATAATATTTATTTTAATTACTACATTATTATTATTATTTTATCTAAGAGAATTATAGACAGCTTATTATTTACGCACTTTGTATTTTAAATGTAAATAGTAATGTTATAAAAATTAAATAAATTTAAAATTATAAAATCAGCAGATGTATTATTACAACTTTATCTATAGCAACATCAATATATTTCTTAATATTTTCGATAAAAAAAAAAAAAAAAAAACCATAACTATAAATCTCAACACATTTTTAAAACCAAATTAATCAACTTGTCTTACTCTTCTCTAGAACTGATAAATTGAATATAAGTTTTCTCATAGGTTGTGCTCACAAAAACCTAAAAAATCTTAAAAATATAAATCACCACGATTGTTTTTATAGACGTTATTAATTTAAATTTCCACAAAAAATTATTTTTTTAGTTATTTTATTATAGTTAAAAATATTTTGTGTCATTACACAAAGACTACATCGAAATATTTAGTTTCATTTTAAGCTATTTTATACCCAAAACCTAGTTATACTATTCCTAGATACAATCTTATATTATTAAGGGTATGCCTAAATTTACCCACTTAGGCAGACAGCTAATTTTATTACCTATTGTTTTATAATAATTATAGTTTTATAAATTAAGTATAGTTATTATGTTTTAAACTATTTAATTCTTTAATCTAATAATTTTTTGATATATTTTTTTTTGTAATTTTAAGATTTAATAATACACTTAATTACAAATTGCATAGTAGTTTTTGGAATCTTTGCCTCCTGCCTAACTTTTTCAGAATGATCCATTACTTCTTAAAAAAAAAAACCCTTAATAATAATAATTATTATTATTATTATTCATTGTAACAGAAAAAAAAAATAAAGACGATCTAATATTTTAATTATTACTAGTTCAATATAATATGCAATTAATTAAATAAAACTTTATTAGGTATACTTTTAAAAAATTTAGTTGATTCGAGAAAATTTTTTTTTTAGATTTCTTTGTTTAGATTTTAGAATATTATAATAACACTTACTGTTTGAACATATCCATGGTTTAATTTAAACTCTTCTTGTTTTTTTTATTATTTTATTTGATTTTTTATGAATAACATATTATAGTTTCTGATTATTGGAATAAATATCAATGGTGGTTTATCTTAAACTTAATTAGTAAAATATTAACAATTTTTCTGCAGTTTTTATGGATGTAAACAGCAAAATTTTTGACTAGTACGTGTACAAGTATATCAAACTGTAAGGTTATCTATGTTGAGCTATGCAGTCTACTTAAGATAAGGTTTAGGCCGGATCTTCCTCACCATTAATTTTTTTCCATAGTAATATAATAATAAAAAAATTATAATGTTTTATATTTTATAAACTGTTAAGATTAAATTATAAATGTACTACTGTAAACTAAAAGTAGATCATATTTAATAAAATATTTGTACAACATTCTAAATGGTATTAGTGGAATAATTTAATATAAACATATGACAATTTAGACTATTGTCAAAGTTAAAATTTTATTGTAATGAATATAAATGTAGTTTAATATTATTATTATAATTAAAATATGTGGTACACGATGTAATAATATAAATGAAAATTTATTGTATAAAAACAAAATAAACCAGTCCAATGTAACTATAATATTTAAGTTTAAATCAAACATAAAATTTCATTTATGTTTATGAGATTTCTTTTTTGACTTATGTTTATGTTTATGCTTCTTATGTTTACTGTGCTTATTTTTATTATTTGAAATATTAGAGGGCGATTCTGATTTTTCCACCCAATCATCATCGACAAACGAATTTTCAACTTTAATATTGACCAAACTTGAATTCAAGTTATATTTTTCAGGTAAGAGTGGACCATATGATCTATTTATATTATCAGTTTGATTTTTACTGCTGTGTTCGTTTTTGTTTTCATCTTCATTTTTATTATTTTTATTTGGTGTATCAAATAAATCACCAAAGTCAAGATTGGCAAAAATTCCTTTGGGAGGAAAAAGATTGAATGTTGTAGAACTCTGGACACTAGATTCTACATTTTCTTTTTTGATAGGCATGTTGGTTGAATGTAATTCTTTTTCATTAGAATAAGTAGATACCTCTTCACTTTCGGATGTATTTTGAACAATTAAAGTTTCATCATCACTATCATCCAAAAATATATCTTTGAAAAAATCAACACTTGGTTTCTGGCATTGTACTTCATCAGCAATTATTTCCTAAAGAACAATATTTTAATAAATACAATTTAAAAATATTGTAACATTAAATTTAAGAAAGATATTTAATAAAAAACAATTATATTGATTTCAGTATCTCAAAAAAGAAGATCTACAATTAAATGTATACATATATATTATATATTTATGTATACTTCTTTAATTATTATTAAATGAATTAAAAATAAAAATTGGGATATTTATTTTGTGGTATTGTAAGAGGTAAAATGTAAGAAACTGCTCTTTGGAGGTTTTTACAGTTTAAAAGTATACCAATAAGTTGTCCTACTATGCAGTCTACACAAATGAATAAAATTTATTTATTTCAAATTATTTTTATTGAAAGAAGTGATGCTAAATAGCCAATATTCCAACTACATTAGCAATAATAGAATGAAAATTTTCATTATATCTGATAAACGATAAGTATAAATTATATTTTAGATGTATTAAAAATCAAGGCATTTTTTTCTTGGGATAGAACAAATAAAAAATTGCTAATGCACCCAATACTTGGGGATTTACAACGAGCCTAACATAGATAAAAGTTTGACTGTTAAAAATATATAATAAAATAAAACTCGAACATACCGTCATACTTTCTTGTAACTTCAACGATTTATCATTAGCTGTTGTTACATTATTTATAGCTAATGGTAAACTATTTGAAATTTTGCTCTCAGAAGTTATTGATTCAGAAATTGGAAATTCTAGAGAATTAAAAAGACTACACTCTCCATGCTTCTTACCATCTTCTGTATAATTGACTCTAAAAATACACATTTTCTTAATATTGTATAGATTTAATTGCACAATATATAAATATTACATCGATTGTTTAGGCACAGGAACATTAAATCTTTTGCAAAGTAATTTATCAGGAACCCAGGGTTCAGTTTTACGAGTCCAAAACCCATACATTTGTTTGCTGGCATAGTTTTTTAGTCTATCTAAAGTTGGATCAGTAGTGCGAATAACTGGTATTAAAGCATTTGTAGAATCATCTGGTAATTCAGCCCTAGTAAATCGATCAGATATTATATCTGATAATAAACTAGGCACTTCTATAAAAAACAAAATAAACAATCAAAGTTTTTAAATCTTAGAATGTATTTTATAATTTAGATTTTATGTATTCTAAACATTACCTTTTTTGATAAATTGTTCAACAGGTGGAGGTGGTTCTGGTTTTTTAATTTCTCGTTGTCTAGTATTCACATTAGTAAATGAAATGTTAGAAGAATTAAGAGGTTGACTATAAAAATCAGGAGGACATTGTCCTAATATTCGGTCAAACATTCCACGAGGACGCCATTCTGTAAAAATATATGTATATGTTTTTTTTGAAAAATTAAAAAAAATAATTAGTAAAAAAAGGTTACCAGGAGGAATTTGTACAGGAGGCGGAAGGTCTTCAAATAAGTTATGTTTACTTTCATCTTCAACAAACCCATCAATACATTCAGGATTCAGGTTATTAGGCTTTGATTTATTTTTTGACTTCTGAGACTTTTCTTCTAAACTAAAATCATAATTTGACATATCTTCAGCAGCATAAATATCATCATCATCATCTTCATAAGCACCAACTCCAAAAGCCTAATTATAAATAAAAAAAATATTTCAAATTGTTAAAACTAATAATGTTATGTCATATTAAAAAAATAAAAACAGAATTTTCTAATATTGGTTACCATACTTATTATATACTATTGTATCAATTTTTCTAAAAAAACTTTGTAAAGAATAGAAAGGATAAAATTTTTTTTCAATAATTAAGTTCAATATTTTTGTAATAATATAATCAACATGCAATCACCAAAGTATTTTAAAAGAAATTTTATCATAAGAAATTGGTTAATGCAAAATATAATTACTTGTCCATGAATAGATTTTCCTCCAACAGTAAGTTTACTGTATTTGTTATCAGATTTTACAGAAACATTAGTCGCCTTGAGACCTTCATAACCAAGTCCAAAAGTATCAAATTTTGGTTTAATAGGTACAGATTCATATTCAAAAGGTGAAACTTTGATGTTATTTAATAATTCATTCACTTCATCATCATCATCATCATCATCATCATCACCATACTTGGTATCAACACTAAATTTCATCCCAACATTTTTCAATTCTTTTTTAGTACGCAATTTCTCTCGTTGTGTAAGTTGAGGACCAACTCCTTGACCAGGCTTCCAGCCCATACTTCTCAGTAATTCGACACCCCACGTATCTCTTTAGTAATATTATAAGTATTAATTAATATTATACATTGTTTATACAACATGAATATTTAAAAAAAAAGTATTTACTTAATTGGTTTTAGAATTTCACCAAGTACAGGTTTACCAGGAATAGGGCCAGTATTAACTATAGGAAGTTGACGTTTTCTTGAAGAATGATCACTATATTCTGCTTTGATTTTTAAACTTGATGCATCAATCCCTAAGTCTTTTTTATCCTAATAATAAACAATAATATTTATCAAGTAAATAAAGGTTAGATTAAATCAATAATAAATTAATATACTTCTTCATCCATAAAATCGTAAGCATTTTGTGATTTGATTGTAGATTTAGAGTCTCTTGAAGATTTAAATGTGCTTGGTGTCCAACCTTCTAACGAACCAACAGTATTATAAAAACCAGCAGAAAAACCACCCGTAAACGCTCCATGAAATCTTCTTCTTCCATTTTCATCTTTAACAAACTGTTGTTCTGCATCTTTTCTTTTAACGACTTCATCTATAGAGAAAAATTAAAAAACAAATAATCAAACCAAATTTATTTTCATGACTACTATTTATAAGTAAATAATTTAATTAATTTAAAAGATATACTCAATAATGGTAATAAACTGATAAATAATATAATGTACAGGTATGTTCACAGAAAAAACGTCTTGTCATGTTTGTTGTATATGTATTATCTAATCACCTTGGATCTATAGACTATTGTTGTAATAGTGTTCTTCATAAATTTTAAAATATTTCTGGGTGAGAGTAGTTGTAAATCCAAAATGAAGGACTGTATTTATAGATTACTGACTATGTTATGTCGCACTCAGTAAATCTGTTTAGGTCAACAGAGAACTAGAGCGTGAGTATGGGCGTATATATATATATATTAATTGCATAGATACCAGTCGAGTTTAGAATCAAGAATTGGAGACTAGCATTCATCACTACATATTCGACATAATATTTTAATTGTTTTACTTAAGATATGGAGTAAATAATCTACTCCATAAATAAATCATAAAAATCAAATTGTTCAAATTATTATCTGCTATTCCTATGATCTTAAATCTACTATCTTTAAGAATATGGTTACTTAAATAATAGTGTGCTGTATATAATTACTATTTTAAACATTAAATAGATCTTTATATACATTACTAAAATCACATTCAATTGTGTTTGTTTATGAATACAAGTTATAAATTTCTTAGATCTGTAAAATATGACTTAAATATTGTATTTATATTAGGTTAATAACTCTGGTTTATATACTGGAAATAGTTAACTAACTACTTCTAAACTGAATAGGAACAGGTATGAATATTGACATCAATTTGTTTAATTTACAAAAGAAATGTGTTCCAGTAGTTCTATGTCTATTTAATGATTAAAATATTAAATTTTTAACTTTTAGGCATTTTAAAACAAACAGCATGATGACATATATTTTATCTAATGTTAAATGTATTACCATTTATTTTAATGTTGATGTATTAAAATAATAAATCGATAATTGAGCATTAGCCACTTATTAAAACAAATATACATCAATATTAAATTTGTAGAATAATAATTTATACTAATTAGTAAATGTAGATATAAACTATGCTTATTATTATAGTAAAATCTATAAATGCAAGCACATACAAATCAACAGGATTCCATTTTAGTTAGTTTAGATCAGTAAAAAAATTACTCAAATTCATCCGTGAATAATTATAACACAACTCAGTAACTCACCTTCGTGTATGGGATCCAACAATTTCCCGTGTATGATGTATTCGTCATCGTCGTCGTCGTCGTCATAGTCTGAGGGCATTGTGAGTTTTGTAGATTAAATCAAACCATATAAATTACTTCAAACGATTGTTAACTTCGATCAATAGTTAAACACTAAACATTAAACACCTTTGAAAGCAAACGTAAGGCCGACACGCTGTTCAATGTAAATAATAAATATACGGTGAATGCGTTTGATAGTAATATCTAATAAGATAAGAACTGTGTTATCAAATAAACAATTTTTCAGATTGTACAAAAGCAAAATAAATAAATAATTATTTAGGTAGTAAACTGGTAAGTACTTATCACTTACAAGTTAGTAGTTACGACTTACGAGTACTTAAGTTAGAACTTACTAAACTATATTACTAATTAGTAATTAGTAATTATATTAAAACCGAACCATTAGTCACTACCACGGATTAATAATTATATTAATCCATGTTCACTACTTAGTACCATTGAGTATATATAGTATATATACTTAATGTTAGTACTTATTACTGACCTTAGCTATAGCAAATACTAACAGATATTATCACAGAATATATTAACAATATTAAATATTTTGTTACTCAATAATATTTAAATATTAAATTTACATGCAATGAATAATAATTAAATACTTAAAAACATTAATATTGGTACTGGGAGACATATACGTTTTCGACTTTTAAAGATCAATCCCCTCAAAACTAGTGTCCAAAAGTTTTGCAACTGAATAGTGTAATAAATTTAACACTTGAAAGTACCTCATCTATAAATTTAATTGATTAAAAAAAAAAAGGTATAATTTTTAAAAATTCCCATTTTAAAGTATGTATTATAATGTATTTAATTAGGCGTCTAAGACTGTACACTGTGTACTTATACAAATAATTAGTTTATTAGGTACCTAATGTCCACTATTCACCTGTTAGCTAATATTTAATATGTTTATATGAATATATTATGATGTTTGGAAACTTACAATAAATTAAATACATTTGTACAGCTAAGTATAACTACAATACCTACCATAAATCACTTGAAAAATGTTGTAAGCTCATTTACAGCCGTGAATACTCGTACTATTAATAGTCGATTAAAAAAAATAAAACTTTTAAGAAAATTGTATTGGACCAATAATTCATGTTACATAGCGTCATCGCCAGTAATTGAATCTTGGTACAGATATTCAAGTAATCTTTAAATAAGATAATTTTTTTTTTATATATATTTTATAAAAGATTTGTGGTGTTCCAAGTAGTTACATTTAGAATAATTATTTGGTACCTACTATTTAAGTTTTAAATTTTTTATTATTATTATACAATTTTATTTAACTTTATTAAAAGTCTTAAGTTTTAGTTTTATTAAAATACAAACATTTATAGAACATAGTATATATTAAACCTGAATATATTTCATTCAAGAATTTAATAAATATTTGTATTTTACTGTAACTAATCTATTAAATGTTAATCATAGACTACTATAAAATCACTAGGTATTGTAGATTATGGTTATTACTTTTGGTAGATATTTGTCTTCCGGTAAATTACATACTACATAAATGCTTTCATAAATAAATCAAGAATTTAAATATAGTATAAACACAGATTCTTACCATTAAGTTTGATTATAAATAATAAGTAAATTTGTTTATGTATTAATATTTTGATAAAAATAAAATTAGTTTTGCTGAACACTAACAAATTTGCCATTTTTGAGGTTTGTAGGATAGAAACAATTCATGCAGGTATGATATACTGATATCTATAATTATTTATATTAAAATATAACAGTTTGTAATTAATTTTTTTTCTGTATCTATAAGTGGAAAATTTAGTAACAATATTACTAGAATAATTCCAGATTATTACAATAAATAAATATTGTTGTAAATCTCAAATAGCTTTTAAATGTGTTTGTGAGCCGAAAAAAAACATGGTCTTCAATAATTTTTGAGTGCATTAGACAAGTTTATTCTGAAGATCATAGCTAGGTTAGAAAAAATTGTATTATCTTTTGTTAAGTATAAAAGATAACATATAAAAAATCAAAGCATCAATTCTCCGTTTGCTAAATATGGTTGTGTTCAAACCAAAATACTTTGTATCCTGCTGCAACCACTCAAATATCTACTACTCAGCTTTAGTTAAAATTAACCACATTTCTTATCAAATAAAATACAAATAAGTATTTCCAATTCAGAGCATAAAATTAAAATGGTTACATTCATTATTCAATATTTTACCATTTTTAACACCAGAAAAGAAATAAGCATACTTTTACTATTTAAAATTTATACATATAGGCCTATTTGGCCTATATGTTAATCCAGCGCTGACAACAGAATTTGTAAAGGTGATTCTAGTAGTTTAGTTTGGTTGAATGAAACAAGTTGCTTATTTTTCATTTAAACACTTGAAGAACTTGATAAAATAGTAACATACTTCAAATTAATTATTGATAAAGAGATTATAAAAATATATTTCATTAATAATTTTTATATTCGATTTATTAGTTATAAAAATTTAGTAAAATACAATTTTTACTAAGAAAAAATTAAGAACTGTATCTGGAAGTTCAAACAACATTTAGTTTAAATAACAATTAAAACTCAATTTGTTTAACTTAATTCATTTTCGTATTCAATTTCAACATGAGGTCTGCCTTTGGGTTTAACAACTTTTTTGACTTTCTTAGCGGCAACATCCTACGAACAAAATATTAGTATCAGATAACCAAATTATAAAATATGAACATTTCTTTTTTTTAAATACCTCAATATCTTCCATTTCTTCTTCTTCGCCATCAGAACAAACATAATCAGAAACATTATCACCATCTTCTATATCACTGTCAAACAATTCATCATTATCTTCTCCAATATCAGACTCATCTTCTGCTGCAGTGTATTCATCAACATCATCGTTCTAAATACATTTTTAAATTTTAAATTAATACAACAACAATAAAACTGGCATATTTTCATTCTTCTTTTCAATTAATAGAATGGTTTGATTGTTTACTAATTTAACTGTTACAAAATTAAGGAAAAATAAGTTGCTAAATTTTTTGTTGCTTTCTACATAGTGTAGATTGGCTGGTACTGAATTTATAATTAGCAACAGTTTATGATAATACAGCTACCTTATACTATTTTACAACAATTTAAATATTTATAGTAACATTATGACATCTAATTAATCATTATATACATACATCTTCATCTTCTTCTCCTTCTTTCTCAAGTGCTTTTTCAAATGCTTGTTGATTGATATTATACATATCGCCATACTAAAAAACGATAAAAATATATTTAACAAAAAAGAATCGTAGTTATACATAATAATTAATTACTAATAAGTTTTAATTAAATAACAGTTTAAATTTATGTTTTGTATAAGTTTGTATTTTTTTTTTTAATTAAGTGCATACAATGTTAATAAACAAAAAATGTATTAGATTATAAAATAAATACTATACAATTTAATTAATTTTTTCTATTATTTATGTAAAATTTTAGATTTCAAGGGAAAATAGTCTTTTATACAAATTGATAGAGTTAATTTAAATAATTGGCTATTTTACTTGTATAATAAATCAGATTTATCTATATTACTTAATCCTATTAAAATTGGAAAAAGCAATAAAATGTATTGCCAGATTTTAATGATAAAATAAGAGTAATAATGAACAAAATCAATAAGGAGTAAGGAGTATAATATTGATTTTATAGTCGATAACAAAATATTGGTAGATGCTCTTCTCCATCTACACGTCATGTACCAACTGGTAACTACAGATTCTTACTGTTTTGGACTCTTTATACAATGGGCATAGGCAGGTGAAGTTTTAAAAAATACGATATAATTACAATATTGCCACTAGATGCATTGATTACTAGCAAGATTTTATGTCTTAAATAATAAAAATGATACTAGCATGAAAACACTATTGATAAATATCTACTAAAAAATAATAGTAAAAGAATAAAACTACTGCATGTGTTGCATGTCTTATAAATTGAGGATATAGCATATTTGTGTTCAACAGTTAAAATTGTGTGTATAAAGATTTAATAATTAGAGTTAGTAGAACAATTATATAACTCCAAGGAAAAAAACTTATCATCCATGTAATCATAAGTTTTTTGTATTTTAATTTTTAAGAAAGTTATGAGTATGTCAAGTAATAAAATATTTTTCTTATTTAAAAAAGGTTTGTTGAAAATAAATAATATTTGGCTGCTACAAAAGAAGCAAAGTAATAAAACCAGTGGCTGTACAGAATTTAAAGGCTAGTCTAACTATATAAAATCTAATTTAAGTTTCATTCTTTCTTTTTAACTTCTTCTTAAAATTTAATTTTTATTTATACAAAATTATTTTCAAATTACATTGTTTTTATACATTTAAGTAGTTAATTTTAATTTAAAAGGTTATTTTTAAGTTTTTAAGACATTTTTGGGTATTTTTAGGTCATTAATATCCTATTCATACTTAATAGTATTAATATATAAAAAGTATTTCATCTAAAACATCTAAAAGAACAAAAATAGAAATAAAGCCTTTAGAAAATATTTAAAACTATAACAATTTAATATTGACATTGGTGATAAAATATAATATAAAAATAAATTTATATAATATTGTGCACGTACTGTTCCTTTTTTGAGTCTTTCAACCAATTCTTTTTCAATAACATTATCAAGACGAGCAGCAATTTCAGCTTTATATTCTCTTCTTTTGACTCGTTTTTCGACTTTTCTTGGCATTGAAACTAATTCTTTCCTAAAACATAAATATTTTTAACATAAATCATACAAATGATTAATGATAGAAAAGTACTATATCTTACTGAGTTTTAAGTTTGAGTTTTCTCATTCGAATTAGATACTGAGTTATTCGTACAAAACGCTGTTTACACATAGATTTTAATGGACCTGGCCAATACAACATGTGTTCATTCATTTGTTGTATAGCTTTTTGAAAATTTCTTGATAATTTTATCTTTTCCCACTGCCTTTTTGGATATACCGACCTTAAAAAACATTTTTATAATTTTAAATTAATTTAATAAACATCAATTAACACAATGCTAATATTAAATTTATACCTTTCAGCAGTTTTTAAGAAGAGATATATAATACCCTTCTCTTCTCTAACAGTAGCATATCTGC